GGCTAGTAGTTAACAAAAAAGAGTTCGAATCCCACTCGGGGCACTCTTTTTTCCGTTAGAATTTTTCTTCCTTAAATTCTAGATGGTAGCGACGTCGTTACTACTTGACTACGACGCTATTCAATGATTTATAATAGTTTTTTCGATATACAAATCTATAATCTATAAATATTACGTAATATATATTTTTCAAAAATTAAAAAAATAAATCCTCGATACGCTAGTTAGCCTATAGCGATCTCTATAGCGATCTCTATAGTGATCCTCTCGTGATCTACGATACGTTTTTTAGCCTATAAGTGATTCTCGAGTAGGATTCGATCAGGATTAGAGTAGGGTCAATATAGCGTTAATATAGGATCGATATAGGATTAATCCTTTATAGGAGGGCATGTATATACTATAGGGGCTATAGTACTTAGGATCTGTTAACACCATGTTGATACGGTTTCAATACGGTTTCAATATAGTATCCGATACGGTTTCGATCCGAGTCGGTGTGCTTAAATTGGTGATAAAACCAACGTTTAGAACCGGTTTCGAACCGTAGTGGAATCGATTTCGAGGTTTAATACCGTGTTGATACGGTGTTGAGCCTCGAGAGCCTCGGATACGGCTATAAATCGAGTTTACAACTCTATAGTATTTCTACAACTGCACACTCGCTCAACAGTGCGTTCGACAGTGCGTTCGACAGTGCGTTCGGCGGGACGCTCGAGTACTACTATGTAGTAGGTGCACGCGAAGCAGGACGCTCGACAGGGCGCTCGAAGCGACGCTCGACGGGACGCTCGACAGGACGCTCGACAGGACGCTTGACAGGACGCTTAAGAAGATACACGAGTAGCAGAACGATTAACTACTAGTAGTATTATAGTACGCAGAAGGTGCACGCGTAGAAGTCGTGTACTATGTAGTTAGATAATAATTAAGAAGGTACGTACGTAGTAGATATACTCGAACTAGTAGATATACTCGATCTAGTAGATACTCGATCTAGTAGATATACTTAAACTAGTAGATAAATCGAAACTTAGAATCCGAGTAAATAGAGCTAATACGGTATTAATACGCTTAAACCCGTAAATGGTTTTGAACTAGTTGCGAATCGGTTTCGAACTATGGTGGAACCGTGTTAGATACGTATTCGATCCTCTAAACAGTTTCGAAACCGTATCAACACGGTATTACTACTGTATCAATCCTAGAAGGATTGGGCACCTATGTATCTCAGCGATACGCTCGCGTATCTCTTCTATAGTAATTCTGTCCTACTCTCGCCGTTCTTTCTTTTCTTTTCACATAGTACTCGTTAAATCTTTATCCTCTCCGAAAACTAATATCTAATAATTTGCCCCCTCCGGACATCGCGGCCGGAGTGTAGGAAGCAATCGTTTTGGTCATTAAAGAATTGGAAAATTTCGAGCGGCGCCCATTTTGCGAGCGTCTTTAGTGGAATGTTTATAAAGGAAGGTCTAGTCACTGTAAAAAAATGTGTGGCTTTCCAGTAGACTTCACATACCCCATGATGGCATTTGCCGTCAGAGTCGGCCGGCTTCCTTGCCGACTGCAAAGGACTGCATTTAATTTCGAGAATAATACTAGTAGGCATGATTGCCCACCCCCCGTATACTACAGTGTGTAGTAGCCTCCTACGTGAATATAGTATATGTCTAATATAGTTCCGTATTAATCTGAGCCGGTTTCGATCCGTACTGTACCAGTATGGTCAAATCGACATAATTATTGGCGAAGGGTAGTATTTGAAACCGTATCAATATAATTTCGAAACCGATCCGGAGTCGATCCGGAATCGGTTCGGAACCGCTGCGGAACTATCTATGTATTTAGAGTTTGTATCGGCTCTAATTACTTAGATCCTAAATTTATAAGTTTATCTAGATAAGGCGGGTAGTATCTAGAGTATCCTATTAAACGTCCTGTTAAGCGAGCAGTTTAGTGTATAGTTGGCGGTAAATTGCCTTAAGTACACTAATAGTTCTACTAGTAGTAAGGGTAAATATAGGTCTATAATCGATTCAAAGCTCCTAAGTGAATCCTCGCAATCGATTCCACTACAGTTCGAGACTGATTCCTATACGGCCCTTATACGTTTATTTTATCACCGATTTTAGGTATACCGACTTAGATCGAAACTGGGTTGAAACCGACTCGGAGCCGGTTCGAAACCGCGTTAATAGGGCTTGATATAGGTTTAATCTACCTTACTATGGCATATATAGTATACTCTTATTCATTAATAGACCTAGGTCCCTGAAATCCTTGGAGTATATATTGACGGCACTAGATCCCCTATCTTTCAAGACCGACTCGACTGGTTCAACATGTAACAACGGCCAGAGATAGGTCAAGGTGGCCGAAATGTATTCATCTTGCATTCACATTCATGGCCTCGCGAGCAACGTTATTGGCTCGGACGCTGTAACAAGACAAGCCGTGGGCTTAGTAGATATATCGGAAATTCATGTTTTCGCGATCGGTCAAGTCGGAAAAGGCTGTGGCGTCGAGGTCACGGCCTTCCAGCCCGCCCGGCTGTTGAGATTGGATCTTGTCGCGGCGGCGGTTTTCGGCGCTCATCAGAATCCAGAAGGTGAGGATGACGACGACCTCGAGGAGATGACTACAAGGAGAAGTAAGCGTTAGTAGTCCAAGTATCTAGACATTATCGTTCGTGGCAGATGCGGGAAAGAAGACTCCTCGTTACCAAGTCGCGATATAGGACATATACATCGACAAACGACTCGAGATCACGGCGAAATAGCCCGCCGTTTCTGGGCATTCTTGGATAAGCAAAGATGACTCACCTCACAATCATACTCCATATGCCCAACTCGTACCCCGGTGCTTGGTTGGTCTTGTAGAAAAACGGACCGGCAATGTTGCCGGTGCAATAACCCAAGAATAGCACGGCGTTGGTCACGACTTTCTTAGTATGGCCTGCGGTATTGGCAATCTGCAGCGACAAGATCATCACGAACGCGGCATTGTACGGGCCCGTCAACAGGTAGCAAATGTACCGGCCAACGTGGTGGGATTCGTGGACAAAGCGTAGACCGAATGCCCCGGCGATGTTGGGACACAGGAAAATTAGGATGAAAAGACACCGCTTGTTGTTGTCGTAGCGGTCGTTCAGGTAGACGCAGGCCAAGATCGATAGGATGATCAAGCACCCGTATGGGATCTGCATGAGGGTGGTGACGAGGGTTGAAAAGCCGAAGCCTGAATCCAGAAACAATCATACATTAGTACTGTAATCCTGGGAATTTTGACGAGCAATTCAAGAAAAGTCATATTGAGGGTAGAGTATATCAAAGAACCACTTACCCTTGATGATGAGCGTCCCGAAGTTGGAGATACCGCCGTTGGGGATGTTTCCGACCAGGCCGAGCAAGAAAAACAGGTATAGCTTGATGTCGGTGAAGGCTTCAAGAACTTGGTATGGCTGCGAGGCAGGGTTAGCCAGCTGAACTATCCCCAGATATGCCCTACGAACGGGACAACAAGGTCGGGCGGGAAGCGCGTGTGTAGTCCCTTCGTGGGTTTTTCATACCTTCAAATGTTTGTTTTCAACACCTGTCTGGTTGCTCGTCAATCGCTCCACTGCAATCCTCTTTTCACGGTCGTTGAGGAATTTAGCCGTCACAGGTGAGTCAGGCATGAAGTAGCCGATGACAATTCCCCAAATGCAGCACAGGGCACCGATGATGAGGAACTCGTATCTCCACGAGGCTAGGGCGCCTTTGATATGGCCAATGCCATACCCAAGCAGCCCTCCAAGGGCAATTCCGGCGCCGTTGGCGGTATACCAGAGGCCGATTCGCAAAGGCTGTTCTTTCCGCGTATACCACTGTCCATCACACGTCAGCCCCAGGGTCCTATCTCCTCTTCATTCGAAAGGGGGAGGCTCACCATTTGTGTGATTAGCATGAAGGACGGATCCGCGCAAGCTTCGGCCGCTCCAGCCAGAGCTCGAAGGACACCCAGGGTGGCAAAGCTGTTGCAGGCGGCTTGGAGCATCAAAAAGAAACCCCATAGGAAGATACTGGTGGCGGGTTAGCATGGTTGTACAGTACAGACAGGATGGTGAGGATGCTTTACTTGAATCCAACGTATTTTCCTAGAGGCAACCTTTGCATGAGGAAATTGGTCGGAAACGCCCAGACCAGGAATCCAAAATAAAACAAACCTAAGGCGTATCAGTTGGCTGATCTTCAACGCGCGGATGCTGTTCACTTACTGCTCAGCCAACTGTACTGGGTACCCCTGAGGTTAAGATCTTCTCTGATACCGAAAATGGCAGCGTACGACAGGGTGGTCTTGTCGATGTAAAAGAAGGCATAGTTGACGGCAATTAAAGGTAGAATCAGCATATCGATCTTGCGAATGAGTTTTCTCTCTTCTTCCGGGTCGATAGGTTCATGGAGCTCATCAGGATCGTGAAACAACCTCAAAGCGACATCGCCATCATGCGATTTTATTTTTGACGAGAACTTGAACTCATGATGGCCCATCGCTGGAGGGTCCGCACTATTGATTTCTTGGTGCGTTGTCGCCCCTTTGTCCTCATACTCGTTGGCCATCGTTGTAGGGCGACACGTCCAGAGACGATGGGAGAGGGGATGCGTATCGCTGAACACTCGTTGATGATGGCACTGAAAGGGTGCGTGAGGTGCAAAGGTCGGTCGAAGTAACCTGACGAGATGGGTAGGACGAAGAACTACAAGCGGAGGGGCCTCAGATGTCTGCCGGAGCCCTTTAAAGAAAAGAGACACTCCTTTAATTCCGCTGTGGAAAAGGCATATTGGCAAATGGACGACGCTGGGACTAGCAAGGCGAGGGGAATGGCATGACGCTGAGGCCGGTGTGGCGTTCGGGGATCCGCTGCCACGTCCTGGTATCCCAGTATTCAATGGAGTGCTTGGGGTGCTTGAGGTGTGTTCTTGACGAATCGAAAAGGCAACAACAACATAGTAAGACTGCCAAGAGACCGGGGGCTCGCCATGCACCCGCACTCAAGCCCTTGCACCCCATGTCTCTGCGGGGGAAAGTTGTGGGCGGAGCGCAGTGGTGGTATACAGCCGTCGAGTCAGCTCCGAGCAAAGCAGAATCCTTGTCAGTCGGCCACCGCTTTACCGGGTCAGTTGCCGATTGCCAACTGCAAATGGCTGATCAACGTCGCGGTATATGAAGATCACAGAAGGTATCCAAAATTGTAATGTTCCAATATCTCCTGACATGGAGAATAAAGCGAGCAAGCAAGCAACCTTACCTCGTACTTACAATTCCCAACGGTGGCTGTTCTTGCCTGCCGTTATCCCTTGTGCATGCAGTTTTTCGATGGGAGTGTGCACATCAGGAGTTGGACTTGTCAATCAACGACAGACGGCATAGTAACCGGTATGTAGGCTTCTCCCCAATGCCCCCACGCGGGGAAGCAATAACACGGGGTAAAAACTGGCAGGATCTATGGGCAAAGTTGAAATTGAGTTCCACCGGATACTCGTTTCTAGCCTGGTGTCAATGATAGACAGACAGGCTTAGGCGGTAGAGGGCGCCGAAGGTGAAGGGCGCGGAGTCGGTCCGACACGGTTGTACGCTCCGGCCAAGCCACAAATCTTGTATCAGACAAGACCAGACGAGAACTCGCCTGGTCCTCGCTTCTTTAGCTGCCAGACTCTAAAGTCTGGGCGTGCGCCTTCTTCATATACACCATTGTAGGCGATGGCATTAGCTCGCTGCCAAAGTTGGCCGAAATTCAGGAGTGCGTTCTCCTCGGACGATCTCCTTCCCACGCAGTATACTCGGCTATTATTGAGGGCGATTGCAGTGAGTGGAACGCTCCGGCGAGCAACCGTCCCAGGACCAGTCCCAGGATTGAAGCACTTGTGGAAATCCCCAGCAACAGAAACATGCGTGGGTCTTGAGAGTCAGTTTGGCCACACAATCGAACCGCTTGGATCGATTCGAGAGGGACCCTGGCATTTTGTGTCTGGCAATTGGCGTCGCCTTATGAGGCTGGGGCCCGCCGACTCCCGTAGTTCGGGTGTGGATGCCAAATCAACGCCTCGTGTGGTCCTTTGGACTCCATGATATCGTCGCTTGCGGGCTCTGGACGCTTTTCTGGATCAGGTGAGGACGCATTCCGTTCCAAAGGATATGAGTGAGCCCTGCTAGGTCCTTTTTTGCGGGATTACAGCAGAGATGGCTTCTTCACTCCTCTTGGGCAAGTAGTATCCCTACCCACAACTTGAACGGCATAGAACATCGACGAGGAAAAGAAAGACTGCACAGCTGGCTCGTCCCTGCGAGCACATTTGCTACAAGCAAAGTATGCTCGGCCGCAGATACCGTACGGCGCTGCATACAGGCTTTATCCAGCAGCCTTGGAACTCTCACAGAACCTCAGCTCATCTCTACGAAAAGCGTACAGGTCAAGCCGTGGAATTTCTTGCAGCTTATCCTGGACTATAACCTCCCGTACGCTGTCCTTGTTTCATTGGATGTCACATATCCTAGGGAGTTCCATCTGGAGGGACCCCTCTGGGCCGGCACTGTCTCCCTAACTCCTATAAGCTCCGTCGCCATAATGGGACCATCATGGGTATCAAAGGCCACGAGAAACATGCTATCTAAAACCATAACAATCCGATCCCAGATCTCAAGCACCCCGCCTCGCCGGAAACAACGCCTGTGAACCGTCTAGTCACCCCATTAACATCAAATCAACTTCCCAGAGCAACCTTGATGTTCAAATTGGGGTTTGATATCGAACTCAGAAACCCTGCCACGGTTGACTGGGAAATAGTTGTGTCAAAGTTGGTATCGTCTGACAACCATATGATATGAGCTGTGCTCGAGGTCCCATCAAAGACAACAGCGGCTTTCTTGGTTCCGTTGATCGGTCGTTGAAACCAGTTCGAATCACCGAGCGAATGAGCGCCATGCCAAGTCGACTTGCACTTCTGGTTGCCCGAATCCAAGACCTCAAATACATCGAACTCCCCACAACCAGATTGCCAACATGAGCAACTGCCATACTGAATGGTTCGAGGAATCTGCGCATTGAGTATCCAAGCAGCCGGCATGTCAGAGTTGAAACCCGTCGCCCCAGAGAGCGGCATGCTGAATTCGAGAAGGAAAAGTTTCGAAGCACCATCGAAGCCATCTGCGATCACATTAGCTGGGCCAAGTAGGCCGCGAAGAGAACATTTTACTCACGGTAAGCCACGGTGCCGTCCCGGACTGTGCCACACGCGCCGTTTGCGCATGGTTTGTCGGTCATGATTAGGAACTCGCTGTTGTCGCCGATCAGAGTATCTGCCAATGCGACGGGCGATGCAGAACCTGCCGTGTTGTCGGCAGAGGCATATGACAAGGACATGCCCCAAACACTGGTATTGTCAGCAGCTTTTCACTTTCAGAGGATATCAGGACGGCTTACGTGTCAAATACTCCCGACCCTTGCCCGCCATGGTGATTGAGAAAGACCAGGCCATCTGCCACACCCTGCTCTGCGTTGTAGTATGCCTGCCTTCCCCACTGCCCGGTGCCAACACTCGCGCTTGCGGAGGAAGCAGGCGCACGGTATGCAGCAGCTGAAGAGGCTTCTACGGCAGATGCTGAGGATACAGCTGTAGGAGATGGGGATGCAGCAGCTGATCCTGCAGCCGAAGTCGCCGCAACACCTGACCACTGATTGATCCAGGAGACTGTTTGTCCATCGATGACGGCCGTGACCCAGTCGCCGACGCCACGCTTCTCTTCAGCATGCTGCTCTTCTTCGACGGCACTAGCTTGACGTTCATGATGATGAAGGTGCTTATGTGCATACCTGCGCTGATGGGGCGAGGGTTGGATGGACCTTTTGGTCTCACTCGCACCAGACGTGTAAAAGGCGAACTGCTTCAAACGGATCGGACCTCTAAAATGCCAGGAAACCTAACACCATGCCATGTAAGTATGATACTCTGAAAACAGGACTTCTTCGAGGATGGTCACTCACCTCTCCGTCTAAAGGAGCCATGCCTCCCTGGTAAGACTGAGCAGCAAACTGGCACTGTCCAGCCGATCCCATCTCCGTCACCTTCTGGTACTGGCCAGCAGTCCCGAAGTTGGAATACGAAATGGCGTCGACCTGAGAGCAATACCAGTTGCCTTTCTCTTCGTAACAGTTCGAGTCTCCTGCGACCACGACGGTATTGGCCGCCAGCGCCAGCGCCAGCAGGGCGCCTGCGCCGTACATGTGCTGCATCTCTCGAAGAACAGCAGCCTCTGGGTTTGTTTTCCTATTATATACAGAACAGGTCAATTTGTGTTACCTGTGCTGATGTTCTGAGTTTCGTGGTAAAAGGTAAGTTTCCAGCAGTGGTGGTTATCGTTGTTGGAATACGAGAAAGATTGAGAGCTCGGACAAGATTGAAACTTCTCAGAAGGCGGGAACTTATTGTGCGCCTGGATGGGTGAAGGAGTGAATGGCACAGAAAACGGGCGCCTCATGTGCCCTGCGTTGGGTTATGCTAGGCGGTGACGCTCGATCAGGCTTGTGTCCCGTTTGCAGAAGACAGTGAGAAGTGGCTGGCAAAATACGGCACGCGCACAGACAACGGCGAATGAATTTAAGAAATGCACGAATAGGCAAAAGGGAGCCAGTACAGAACAAAGTGAAGAATGAATGAAAGCATGACCTGGATGGCTGGGGTTGCGACATCTCTTTCTTTGCGCCGAGTGCGAACAAAGGAGTCTCACTGGATTTCGCACGCGCAGAGGCCGCATTTGGACATGGCGAGGCTCAAACGCACGAGGCCCGGCCCGAGAGTGTACTGTACAGGAGGTGTAGTAGATGTGAATTTGAACCGCACAGGCGGAGTTGGTGATACACGATCCTGCCTGCAGTGGTCCGTGTTCAGCATACCCTGTGATCAAGAACAGCAGTCATTGGTGAGGTTCACCACATGGCGGGCCACGAGGCTTGCTCAAAACGCCCGGTAGGCAGCAAGCCGGCCAAGAAGGTGATCCATCGAAGTGAATCAAGATACACCAACGCGTCGCAGTGTAGTGTGATGGGAAATCCGAGGTGCATAATTTAGTACAGTAAATCTTCGAAAAAAACGTGTACTAGGTGGTACCTTAGGCATGGAAGCAAGCCTAGAACGTGCAAACATGCCCCAGAAGCCACCTGGAAGGGACGTGCTCCAGGCGCCGTGACCTCCCTACGCACCGCCCGTAATCTCCAGCCCTTCGTGCGCTGTCGACGCTCATAGGCTGAGACTCGGGTGCTGGCCACGTAACACACGCCCCTTTCCCAGCCTTGTTTATAAAGATACCTCATGAGAGGTACCTATCCTTGCTGAACAAGACCTTCGACTGTCGCACCGAGACCTCGGCCACTGGCACGACTTGGCAGGAGGTGAGGCGCTGCAGTTTAAAAGATCAATGTTCCAAACAGGACCCAAATTAACTCTCCACCAAGTCACACAGTTGCAAAGAGAGTACTGTAAACAAACAGTGCGCCAATCTGATTATAATTCGTGGAAATAAACAACGGAGGGGAACAGATTCTTGCAGCAGCCAATCTGTGTAAAGCACATATAGTATGGGCCACGGAGATAACAAAACCTCCCACGAAATTGTCTGTAGCTTAGCTTGACCATTTACAGTACCTCACCTGAAGACAGGGAGAGCATTCCTGTGCACAGGAATCCAAACTGCGTGCAAGGGTGAAGAAAGAACAAAGGTGGTGGTGGTGGTGTGTGTTTACAGCCCCCACCGCTGACACCGCTGCACGCGGCCCACGAGGCCCCAGCCTTGCTGCCATGCAGTGCCGCCGATTAGCCCAGAGTAATGCACGGACGAGGCTACGCAAGCATGCCCATATCAACACCCAGCCTCCCATCATGCATTCCGGCCTCCTTTTTTTCCTTTTTTGCAGACTGGTCCCGACCACTAATTACTATAGCACCTCTGAGATGATTGCGCCCTCTTCATTCTGCTGGCTTCTGGTCGTCCTCCGCAGTTATGAACGCTGGGCTACTGGTTGTAGCAACTGTACTTCATACTACAGGTACCAAACAACTCAAAGGCGAGGTTGTTATCATGATGACAGCCGTCATGAATAGATGTCGGGAGTTCATCCACCCCAGTACACCTATTGACTGTCATCCACTCCGGGATGTCATCTACCAACTCAAGTAGAAAGAAGAAGGGGCATTTTTCTTGCAAACTTATCATTCTCAACTTATGCCGCTGGCGGTCACAATGCCGAACGGACGAGGCGCGTGCCTCGCGCAACAAGGGGTATCTAAACTAACAAACCAGAAAAAAAAAGAAAACAAACAGACTGGGCTCAGTGGCCGCCGCCCACGCACTCAAGCTGGGCCCCCGGGCGCAAAGGGCAAGAGTCTAGACCTTCTCGCGGCTCTTAACCTTGGTCCAGCCACTCTTGCCCTTGCCCCGGGCACCATCCTCCTCTCCACCCGTACCGGCCACCTTGGTGGCGGTCGTGGTGGTCATGATGCTTCTAGCATCATCGTACTCCTTCCCGTCCATTGCCCGGGTCTTGATGAACACCGCCTCGTCCATCTTCTCTCCACCGTCATCCCACTCCTGCTCGTCCAGGAGCTCCCACTCGGCGTTGTTCATCTCCGTGAGCAGATGTTTCTTCAACGGGTCGACGATTGTGGTGTACTTGTTCAGACGCCAGGCGGGCGTCTGGTTGTCCGTCGCTCGGCCGAGGTGAGTATGTGTAGATGTATGGGATTGTGAACCAAGGCGGCCAGAGATAGCAGGACCACCTTCTGGGACAGACAGGGAGGTGCTCTCGGAGCGGCGTTGGCGGTTCTTGATATCTCGTGGAGTGAGGGTGCGGAAAGTTGCGGCAGATTGTGGAGGACCCAAAATCATCTCGTACAGGTTGCGACCAAGGTCACAGACATCTTCCCATCTCTCCGTGCCTGCAAGAAAGCCTTGTGTACGAGCGAGCCATGCAATGTCCCAAGCGAGAAGCGATACTCCTTCTAGGAAAAAGCTAAATGCAACCGGTTCTTTCTTGGCAAATTGTGAGACAGATTCCTCGTGATTGTCGGACCCGATATAGAGGGGACGAGGTCGCGGGTAGGAGCTGAGATCCAGTCGAGAAGTTGTAGGACTGCTGGGCGCTGAGAGACTGGTGCCACTGCCAGGGAGTGGTACTCGCTGTCCAGAATAAGATGTGAGTGGAGTGTTGATTGTGGGAAGCGGATAGTCAGGGCGAGCAGAAGTGAGTTCGGCTGGCAGTCTGACACCGAGATAGAAGGCTGTGAGGATGACGAGGCGAGCAGCGTTTCCAATAGCCGCAGTCAACTCGGTACATCGCAAATCTGTTGGAGATTGTCAGCGGAGTTCAAGTGCGGGATGCTTTGGGCGACTTACTGTTGATGTCTCTCAGATCTGGCAGCAATAGACCTCCAATAGTGTACCGGTCTCTTACCACACCGTCTTTGGTCTTCTTCTTGGTGTGTTGCAGCTTCAACAAACCGGCTGCTTTTCGACACAGGGCCGCTTTAGATTCGACAATTTGGTTATGAAGAGTGTCATGTGCCGCCTTCTGCTTGCCGTAGGCTTCCTTCACTTCCTCGTGCTTCTTCTTGTCTTTGGCCAGGGATTCTTCGGCGAGGGCAAGGTTGGTTCGCCTCTTGCCAAGTTTCTCCCGCAGTTCCTGCGCTCTCGCCTTCCTCTCTTCTAGTTCCTTCTTCTTCTCTGAGATGAGGCGATAAGTTTCTTCAGTCCGTTCTTTGCTCTCTTGCACTTGGTTGCGGATGTTCTGGGCCTGCCACGCGCTTCGCAGTGCTGCGGTCTCCTCATCGAGAGGCTGGGAAGGATCTGGTTCAGGCCCAGTGATAGCCTCAACCTTGCGACGTAGTGCTTCCTTTTCGAGTAAGACTTTAGCGAGTTCGGTTCGGACATTGTAGAGCGCGGCGCGGGCGCAGCCTGCGCAGTGAACTCCTCCCTCTTGAGAAAGCTGGGTTTGGCAGACCGAACACGGCATCTTTGGAGTTTTGTCAACCATGATGTAGGATGATTGATCGGGATTCAAGTTATCTTTGATCTCATGTTCAGTGATCTCGTGGTCTTTGACGGCTTGGGCCTCCGCATCCAGCGATGCCTGCGGGTCTGGCGTAGATCTGCTGGATGGAAGCCTGGAGTCATGATGTTAGACCAAAACAAGGCTTAGAGTGAATGCGCATCGAGCACAGTCCCGAAGAACCGTGTTGGCATTGCTTTGTCTCTCGAAATGAGAGTAGTGGACGTGTGATAGGCTTGTTACTTACCGATCTCTTAGTTCTGTTAGCGACTGGACGCTGGGCACCCGACTCGGACTTGGAGAGGGTCGGTCCATGACGTCTCACTCCCTTCAGTTGATGAGGGAGGACACAATCACGTGAATGCGTGTCACGCTAGATGCACGCTAACGATGTAAGTAGTTAGCGTGACTGACACGTGATTGAGGCCGATGTTTAACCGACGTTGACAATGATGCTGATCCAAGTTGGTGGTTTGATGACACTTTCAGTTGGAACTGATGATGGAGTTGAAAGAGTCAAGGAATAAGAATGGACTCAGAAGAGCAGCTTGTTGACTCTCCGATTCAGGACGAGGGGACTCAGTCGGAGAACCCAAGTGCTGATTCTGCTACGGCCATAGAGTCCTCACCGTTGCCAACAAGGCCAGGATACCATCAGTCTCCTCGTACAGCAAGGAAACGCACCAATGAAGAAGTCTACGAGTCTGTGAAATCGCTGAAAACACCTTCTACTCCCTCGAGATTTCAAAAGTCAAGCAATGTCGTGCCGCAGCCCCAGGAAGGACCCCAACCATCGGCAACCCCCATAGCAAGGCCTGTACCAAATTCGCAGGGTATAAGGCCGAACAAGGCGACTGCAACGAATGATACAGGGGCTGAAGGCATGGTAACGACAAATCACAATGTGGCCCCACCCCAGGAGACACAAAATACCTTTGTCAAAGACATTGAAGACTACCGACAGCAACTGGAACTTGAATTCCAAGAATTTGAACGGTCACTTGACGAAAGAGACCCAGCAGCAGACCTGGAGCCCATGGACTGGGATGACTTGGAGGCACAGTACAACAAAGAGGTCCAGTCGAAGGTGGCCGCTGAACAAGAAATTATGAGCGAATTTAGTGCTCGCTTTGAGGTTTGGACACCTTAACCTGTTCGATGATACCGGCTAGCGCTAATTCAGCCCAGCAATTCATGCTCTACATGCAGGTTTCCGCTGATTATGAGGCCGAGCGAGCCATCAAAAGGTATGAATTTCTGCCTGGCCCATGACGCCGAAGCTGATGGTGTAGGTTGCGGACTCGGATCGCCATTACCCGAAACACGGAAACAGCGCTTGCACAGAAGCAGGCACATCGTAAGTTGGTCTTCACATATAAGAGAGGCTCTGTTGACTTCGGCCTAGACGCAAAAGTGCTTGAGGCTTTCCAAAGTGCAATGAACCTTCTCAACACTTGAAGATCCTTATCAGTTGGACTCCTCTACAAGGTGGTAGAGGAGAGGCTCAAGTTGCCCACCTGAGAGAGACGCATAAGATACCCAGATGTGGTCTCAGGTTGGTATAGCACCACTGTTTTGTTGTCGACTCGCTCCGACATCGTTATGAGGCTTATTGCGCCGCGGACAGAGTCGAACCATCGACAGTCACTCCTGGCAGTGTACTCCACAGAGAATTGGGCTTTGATCAGGCAAAAGGGACGACGGCATCAAGAACGTCTTCCGGCCGGCAAGGAATCCTAATATACCCTGCGGCTGGTCAAAAGAGCGATAATGTATGTTAAGAGGTAGCAAGCCATGTTGTGTGGTTGCTCTGGACGAATGTCCAGAACCGGTACCTCGATGTGACCTGCCCTCCCACCTTGGTACTGAGAGAGACTGACACTGGGACTGTTGATGACCCCATCTCTTTGCTGTTTCGGTGTAGCCTGCGTTCTCCGCAGCACCGACGCGGTCGCGTGGAAGGGTTGGCCCGAGCCAAGTCAACTCGAAGATGGTGGAGAGGAGACGATATCCCGGCTTCTGCAGGAATGTGTGGGAGAATGGAGAGGTGTACAATCTGCTCACTCTACATTGTAGCTCGCAGAGCTACTTATGGCTTGAGTAGACGGTGGCGCACGTGTCCTCAAAGCTGGCGCGGTAGCCGTTGTGCGATCGAGCCATAGAGCCATGTACGCGGAAGTTATCTTGGGGCAGCCTTGTTGCGGTCAGGCACAAGGCTGACCACTCAGCCAATGGCGAATGACGTAGCCACCCTCTTCGCCTAACTTTGAACGGCGTGCAATATAGAGTTGCGTGAATCGTGACAACGCTGCTTGAAGGTTCCTCTGGCCAAACCCTCTCTTGCAATTAACTTCGCGATCATAGCAGGCTATCTATGAAGCCTGACATGGTGACATGATGCTCTTACTTGGGAGTCAACGTGATGTCTGATGATTCGGGCGCATCTACAGATCGAGACCTTCTCTCCCGACTGAACGCGCTGAGAAAGTCGACCGTTACATTTGAGCAGGCAAAGTAATTCAAAGCACTTACTGTGCCATACTGGAAAATGAGCTAACAGAATCAGCTTACAGGCGCCGCTTGCACGAGGTGTTTCCCTACCAATCGACCCTGCTCCGGCACGCGCCCTTCATTCCGACCTTGTCACAAGATGGAAATCCCTAGGAGGGAATCCAGCCACTCGCGAGGACCCCATAACAGAGAGTTCGCCAGATGAGACAGATGAGGACAAAATGCTGGACGAACTGTTGGCTGATGTAGGCTCCGGTGAGACATGGCACGTTGCCACAAGTGAGGAAGAGCAGATCGCCAGTCTGTTACAGTCTGCAAAATCGGCTCTTGCGGATGCGTCCCAGGGGCAGTTGACCGGCGAAGAGCAGACGTCGCAGGGTGATTCCGAAGCCAGGATCCCCGCCATTGATATATCTTTCTTTCAGCCAGAACCGGAAGAGGAAGAGAAATGGGGCCGAGACGAAGGATCAAGTGGAGCTCCTCTGAAATCCAGGATTGCACTTGATGGAGAAGCCGAAGAACTGCTCGAGAAGATCCTTGATGAAGTTAGACACGAGCCTCCGGACCCAGACATAACGCAGTCAGAGACTGAACAGGACGTCCATCCACCGGAAGCTGACCCGTCATCAAAGTTTTCTGCTGAGCCGACGTCGTCCATTTCAGATCTTCCATCCACACCGTCGAAATTACCAGAACCGGTTGAGCCGAAGGCGGAATCCAACATTGATGAGGATCTGGTCTCACGTTTCGCCGGGCTGTCCCTCCCGTCGGTTCCGACTACCATACAGTCGGTAACGGCGGGCAAGCCGAGTGCAAAGACTAACGTCGGTTGTACTGACGAGGAAATTGACACATGGTGCATTATTTGCAACGACGACGCCACACTACGATGCATGGGTTGTGATGGAGATCTCTATTGCACTAATTGCTGGATGGAGGGACACCGAGGCGAGGATGCAGGACTCGAGGAGCGAAGCCACAAGGCTATTCAGTATGTTAAGGGTGGCGCGAAAACCAAAGCCCGCAGAAGAAAAGCCATGCTGGGTTCGTGAGAGGGATGAGGACTCGGTCTAAACCCCCTTTTCTGTCGACACCGTCCCAAGGCTTGCTGCAGACCTTTCTTGTAGACATGGTCCTGTCATCGCTTGCTGCTTCCTGCTCTTGTGAACCTGCCCCCAGGCATCTGATGATGTCGGCGGAATGGGGGCTAGAGATGAGAACCCGGTAGGAAGCTTTCTGTCAATGCCGAGCATATGGACCAATCCTCTCGAGTAATTAGACATTTTGTAACCCATTTACTTACCTTTTACTTCTTATTAAATATTATCATTTAATGCTAAAGCTAGTAGGTGTGGTATACTTACTAGAGGTACCTACGGTATGCTCCTTACCAAGTACGAGTACTATTTAGTACTACTACATACTACCTAGTAATATGCACTAGTACTCGATTAACTGCCCACTGCTGATTTGTCGCGTCGCGTCACACTGCATTGCGGCACCACTGCACCTCGAGAGCCAGACTGCATGCGACTGCACTCGGTACCAGCTGGCGTTGACAGTGCCAGCCTCTTTAATAACGAGCACAGGTGCTGGTTCAGTCCTCGCCCTTAGGCTATGGAGGACATTATGATGCCTACCCAAAATTGATTGACTATATGGAGCGACCTAATGCAAGCTATTCGCGAACATATTTGACTCGACACAACTACCGGGGCCCCAATCTTCTGAGTACCTTTGGAGGCACAGAGACTGCGATCCGAACCACTACTACTCGAGCCGCGATAGAAGACGCTCACGGCAAACAGTGCATCATGGCGCCAACAGCCCAAGATGAAGATGACCTGGCCATTTACGCCCAGCCGTTAAGCAGCGACGATGAGGACTACAACACTGCCACAAAACCTGACGCCAACAGCCTTGCAAAGGACTGTGAAAGCAAAATGGCAAAAGCCTCTCGTCCGTCTCCGAAACGTACCTCCCCCACCACAGCAAGCAGGAGATCGAAGAGGAGGAAGCTTGTCGACGAGCCAAGTCTGGATACACTGAGCGCCGTGACTACAGATTTTACCGCAGTGCCAGACCCGATGGCAGAATGGACTTCGTCTGGCTCCCAGAAGAGAAGGCTACAAAAGAGTTATGCGAACCGGAAGACGTTTCAGAAGCCGGAGCCACTGAAGAATAAGCCTACATTACCAGTAGACGGACAGGAGTTCGTATCCTACAGCGTGGTAACCAAGCATGAAAATGCGCCGAATGTGAAGGCCGGTTTCATGCCTACTGCTGCAATGACTGGGAAGAGCAAGATCAAGAGCCCTAGCACTTTAAAATCGGATCTCAACATTGCAGAGTTGCCCAAGAAAGAGACGCCGAAAGAGTGCGGGTTTCAGCTGCCCGACCTGCCTAGTTTCACGTCTACTGCTACTACTACTGCCACCGTGTTCGAAGAGGAAGCTTCCAACAACAGAGAAAATACCCGCAGACGATCAGGGTCGACGTCGTCCTTGTCCTCCGTTGATTCCATGTTCATTTTAGAACACCAGGGCGAGCTGCTGGAGCAAGACGATATCACCTCGCAGGGAAGCCAAGCGTCCGATTTCCGTTGTCCAGTCTGCCAAAAGGCAGTTAAAGATTCAGCGTCGTTATTTGTCCCCGATAATCTTCGCACTCTATCTTTTAAGAAACAGCAAGATTTCTGTCTGCAGCACCAAGTGGCCGAAGCACACGAGCAGTGGCACGACCGGGGATATCCAGACATCAACTGGGACAATTTCGAGACTGTCCGAGTCCCCCCAAAACTGCCCGTGCTGAAGGAGATTATCAACCGAAGTACTCCGAGCTACTACCTTGATCAGCTGGACGAGAAAATCAAAGCCGCCCGAGGCAATCGTAAAGCGGTGAAACTGTACCTGAACGAAGGCATCGTCGATGTCGCGAAACAAGGCTACTACGGTCCCAAGGGGGCCCGCGTCATGGTGGGCGCTATTATGACGGAGCTTACGAAACCACTCAATCAGGCTTTAAAGTCTGACTCCGCGCTCCGGGCCGCTGGGGTCGGTGGCTATGTGAACGCCGTCCTGGTCCCGGAGTTGACTTCTTTATTGGTAAAGGAAGACATGAAGCTGAAAAATGGGGAAGAGGCCAGGAACGTGTTGGACGAGAGCAGTCAAATTGGCGCTCTGCTGAACCCTGATGATGATCACGTCGAGCGCGAGGATGATGACTGAGCAATACCAGGTCTTTTCGGAATGTACCGTTCGTGGCTGATGACCAGCGTTGTTACCTATCTTGCGATGCCACAGTTGCTGTTGAGCGAGGAGCTATGCGGTATATTTCTTATGAAGTCGCTCGTTGATAATGTTGCCATGGAGTGGGAATCAGCAAGCGGGGATTTATTGGTACCATGTCATAATCACAGAGGCAATATTGTGCTCCTACAAAGGAGATAATGCGGGTCCTTGAAGCAAACATTTCTGCGAAGAATCAGGCAGTATACTAGCCCTGCAATCGTTCTTCTCGGAACTGCACCAAGCATGCTAATGCAGAAGTGCTGCAACGAGCTCTTACTGAAACTGTCTGCGACAGTACTAAGTATCGTTCCGCCGCTGCTGCCACCGGTCAATCGTCTGGATCATCTACGAGCACTACTACTCCTAGAACAGGGGGTTGATTTAGAACCGTAGCAACGAATTTACGTCGTGCTTGTTGCGGACCGGCTGATGAAGCCGTCTTTGAGATACGCTTATAATTTACCGTCTATTTGAGCACCTAGGTCCCTTTGTAAATTCTTATCCAAATACAAATATATATTTACCTACTAGGATGATCTAAGATAGAAAGATATATATAGTGTTAGTGTTAAGTCCGTATTAACTCTATCTAGGATCTGCTCTAAGCCCTAGAATTTATATACTAGTATTATATAGTATGCTTTTATCTTAAGGTTTAATCACTTATATACTATAGGAGCTATAGTACTTAGGATCAATACCGTATTAATACCGTATCAACACAGTTTTAATACGGTTTCCATATAGTATCCGATACAGTTTCGAACCGTAGTAAAACCGGTTCTACTACCGCTCCACCACGAATCCGAATCGGTTTCAAACTGGTTTCGATCCGAGTTAGCGTACTTAAGTCGGGGATGAAATTAACGTTTAGAACCGTATTAGAACCGGTTTGGAATCAATTTCGAGGTTTAATACGGTATTGATACGATATTGATACGGTATTGAGCCTCTAGATATAGTTTGAAGCCTCGATACGACTTCTACGTTTACTGCATAGTACTAGTACTAGTAGAACTACATACATGCCCTCCTATAAAGGATTAATCCTATATCGATCCTATATCGACGCTATATTGACCCTACTCCGATCCTAATCTAATCCTACTCGAGAATCACTATAGGATTACTTATAGGCTAAATAACGTATCGAGGATCACGAGAGGATCACTATAGAGATCGCTATAGGCTAACTAACGTATCGAGAATCACTTCTTAACTTAGTTAAAAATTTTAATTTTTTTAAATTAATATATTACGTAATATTTATAGATTATAGATTAATA